CGTCTTCGTCCTCAATCAACAATCTTTGTATTACACAAGAAATTAATATTTCATTTGGCAAGCCTCACCAAATTAAAAAAATCTTTGCAATTATCTGCAGACACAAGTTTCCACAATTTGGATAATTTTAAACTGAAGCGGCGTTATGTACAAAATACACAAAAAAAATTAACTATAGAACTGGCTGTTTTCTTCGACGAAGCCGCATATCGTATCTTCATGCCATTTCTGGACAACGATGAGCAAATGTTGCATATGTTGATATTAGCGTATGTGAATAATATTCAAGCTGTGTTCCATCATCCTAGTTTGGGAGTTTCTATCGATATTTCGTTGGTATATTTGGAAATTATGAATAAACAACCGTCAAATTTGCCAGTTTACGGCGGCGACGATCTAAAACTATTGTATTCGTTCTGCAATTACATGGGAACTCTTAACCCTACGGACGACAATGATCCAGATCACTGGGACGTTGGTCTTTATCTAACCGGAATAAATCTTTGTTACACCGATCAAGGCGTAGTCGAAAATAGTACCCTAGGTATATCCAACAAAAATAGTGCGTGCAAATTATTTCAATCGTGTGTGATAGCAGAATTCGGTATTGCGGATGTTGTATCCTCGGGTTTTTCATCGTCTCTCTCTACTGCTCATGAGATCGGTCATGTGTAAGTTTTTATATAATAGTTTTTACTAGTTTTATATAATAGTTTTAGTGTAAATTAAGTATAAATATGTTTCAAAAAAATTTACTGAATTGTTTAGTTTAAAAGCAGAAAATAAACAAACCTTTTTAAGAGATTTGTTCCTTTAATTATTCAGTATGTAAATTATTAATAAATTTTAATATAAAAATATTGAGAGACAATGATCATTGCTAAGTAAAGCAAAATTAATAAGTTCTTTGTTTTATAGTTTAGGAATGCGACACGATTCCGATTATACAAAACCATGTGATACATACAAGTACATAATGTCATCTAGAAAATTCCGTCAAGGTCAAGTAACATGGTCCGAGTGCAGTCGTAATATAGCTGAAAAACTCTGGAAAACAAAAAAGTGCCTTCGAGATCGT